ATACATTTTTTGATAATTAAGTCAAGAATGTCCAAACACAAGTCTAAAGAATGTGGAGCACTGGACTCCAAATATGAAAAACAACTTATGATAGTATAATAGTTGTGAAGTGGAGGTACGTCTGCAGTAGTGGATATAAAATGGCACTAAAAAGATGCATGGGATGCTCTTACATGTAGAGTTTGTGTAGTGTTCGTTGTCAAAAGACCATGATGCTTTGTAGAATAATGAAAATAATTCATAGAAAAACATTATCAAAGATTTTCTTTTGTTTTTGTTTTTGCACAAACATGTCATCACTGAACTGTGTGCTCGAGAGTCTGTGTAGAATCCCAAACAATAAACCTGGTGAGCAGCTGTGAGTGGTGCAACGAGAGCTTAGCAGGCTTTTTGGAGCTGGGCTTCGCCTCCCGGGCTGCATTCAGGCTGCCCTACCTTATATGGGTGAAGGTTGTTGGAGCTTGGATGAAGCACACTGTTCAGCCCCTCCAATGTATATATGTCTCCATATTTTTGTGTTAAAATGATTAGGATTCAATCTTTCACTTTTTACTATAGAGTTCTCATAAAAAGACACAGCCGTCTCTTTCAATCTTTCTTTTGTGTTGCTTTCCATATTACGGTGAGCAACGATGTCCTTGTTAGTAAATATATGGACGGCTGCATTTTGAATGAGCTGAAGCTAATGAATGGTTTTATGTTGCGCTAACAGTCTGCATGACAAGTGTTTTCTCACAGGCATAGAAATCATCACGTTATTTAGAAATATTCCTGACATGATGGAAATCTTCTTTGGTGATGGTGCTGATCTCAAAAAAAAACTTGAGTAGCATTATTGTTATCGCGGGATCAGGACTTCTGAAACTAGCAACTAATACTGACAGCTAATACTTAATATGGTCCAAAAAAATTGGTGTCTGTAGGTGCCCAAAACTCTTCAAACTTCCCAAGACATTGACCTATTGGCAGAGTGTTGTGTTTCACGCTCTCGGGGACGATTGGACACTGATGATTCCCGTACATGCTCCGCAGGTTTTAACACGACAGCTGCTGAGGACAAGAAAACAGCAGGATCTTGTTTTGTATTCGAGTCTGGACCTGGATCTATCGACATTGTCCCATACTTTTTCTTTCTCTCTCTCTCTCTCTGTCATGTTTCGGTCACGCCTCAAGCTTTCCTGTCAGTGAATCGCCCTGCAGCCTCCCAACATGTTATTTATTTACTCCTCCTGCGAGCTCTGATGTCTGTCTCCTCACTGCTCATTTCATACCTCATCTCTCCTCTGCCATAGTCACATGTCATCAAACAGTTATTACTGCAGCACATACGGTCTGGCTAATTAGTCCAGTCAATCTTATAATTACAGATCAGAGGGGCATGATCGGGAAGGTTGGGCAAGGCTTTCAGCCGGTGTCGGCACCCTTACCCAGGCTCAGTTATTATTCCCTCCAAGCCCGGGAATAGGAAAGAAGTTTTTCCTGAATCCTTTGGGTTTAATTATTAGCATGCCTGAACCTCAGCAACGTATGGATCCTCACAAGAATGCTGCTCATTCGCTCTCTAACAGGATTTGTATTGTTTGGGGGGTGTACTTTCCAATGTCAATATGTTCCCACAGAGATGCTGATCTATGTGGAAAAGCTGTGTGACATTGACTCCTTAGTCATCTTAGAAGAGTGCAATAGATCTGTCAGCCCGCCGGATGTTCCTGTTGCAGAAAGTGTAGAGAAAATAAGAGAGGCAATTTGCAGACTTGCATCGCCTGTACAGCCAGTGTGTTTACGTGTTTGCTCTGTTAGCAGAGCTGAGCATTTTCCGTCATCGGTCGGTCTTAATTCTCTCTTAATTAATTCTACTAGACAACGATAAATAGACGCGCTGTGAGATTTGATGCACCGCATCAGCTGCGTTGATTCTTGTACGACACACAACAGAACAAAATCGCAGATTGCTTTCACTACACCGCATGCGTCCATCCAGCTGTAGTTTAGGTCCAAACATGCACGATTGTTACATTTAAGACTGGACTCGTGCCCAGCATGCGATTGCGTTATCTGCAGTGCATAGAACACATAACAAACCGTCATTGCTCAGCGTTGCGTGGGGATTTTATTCAGCTCTTTTATTGGGCATTGCACACATCGCTTTACATCCTGTTATTGCACCTAAGTAGTTGCTCTCTGCTCTCACCGTTTTCCATACTGTAAATCCCATTGAGTCACATATACTGCATCGACCGCAGCAATCCGCGGTGGGCTCCGTGCCACTCTCATGAAATCTCCAGTCGGATTTTCAGTTCTGCAGGAAACAAAACAAAACACAACGATTGTTCCAGAGGGATGGCTCAGCACAGAGGGAAAAATAAATCGCATTGTAGACTGTCGGCTCATCACCCACAACACTGTGTTTTATCAGCTGATCTGTGAAATGATCCCCGCTCAATAGAAACAACTGAACTAGGGAAATACCGATCACATTTCTTCAGTTCAGATAGAACGCAGATAACTAGGCGTTGGGTATCGGACGATATCAATCTGATACCAGTGTTTGATTAATAAGCTGTATACGTGGAAGTGACTGGGGTCATTCTTTTGTGTGTAAGGCTTTACATACACAACTTTTATTTTAAGTATTTCTGTTATTTTTGTCACTGAGGATTGTTCTCCCGTCGTCGCAATGCATCCAACAAAGTCAATTGCTTCTTGCAACCGTCCCCTCTTTCTGATTGGTTGAACTCGTCAAAGCTTTCGGCTCGATGGATCTGGAGGTGCTCGATTACGTTGCCTGTGCTATATCTCGTGATGCTACCGCCACCCCTCCAAACATTGGCTGTGCACATGTTGCGAGTAACAGTAGAAGTATAGCATAGCATATAGCAAGTGTGAAATACCAAACAGCTGACATGTTTGTTGTTAGCTCCCTCAGCTACTTTATGCATGTGTAATCAGATGTAAACATAGCATTTAATCCAATAGATCAGTCCCATTGGCACAAAACCACAAAAACTGAGCTTGTTTGTTGTTTGTTTATTGATCTGTTCATTTTGCAGTAATCAACCCTGAACACCTATTCCTCCATTTGTTACAAAAAAAAATGAGTAACTGTGATAGAGATATTTGGTTCTTTATTGTGAACAAGTTTTTTAGCAATACTGAAAGTCAACACAGCAATACACAACACACACAAGCCCCAGCAGAGGCCTATAACTAATGTAATGAATATGTGTAATGGGCAGTCTGGTAAATAGCCCCGATCACTCTTATCTGCCGGCTAATGATGTCTTGGGCTCCCTTCAATTAAGGTGGGAACGAGGTCACTAAAAGGTTTGCATCGTAGCTCAGCCATTCAGCTTCTTTAAAGCCTTAGCGTGTATTTATTAACGCTCCAGGCATAGGTTCCCAAAGTACACGCTCTGCTTGGTGCTTTTTATCCTCTGTAAACTCATTAAGAACTTATTAATCCTCCACTAATAATGTGGGCTCGGGACTCTTTCTGCAGAGTCCCCTTTGGTTGTGGTTTTGGTGTTGCTAGTTTTTTGTTGTCTGTGTGCGATCCAGACCCAGCAGGGCTGATGTAGGAAACCTTCAGGGATGCTTTGTCTTAAAGGTTTTTCTCTGGGTGCTTTGTTTGCGAAGGTGCTCTGATCTAGAAGTTTGGAGGACACCCAGAGTCCTCCGTAGCTGCTGGACGGGACTGTCTGGGATTGTTACCGTAATACATTGTGGAAACTTTGTGCTGAACCGAGCCGCATGCTTCACATCACCGTGTGTCAAAGACATTTTGCCCAATTTTGTTAAATTGCCGCATGAACAAGGAGCCTAAAGCCCCCCCCCCCCCCCCCATTTGTTTTTATGTTATATCTTGCGGTTCT